CGCAGCCATGCTATACCGCCCATGGAGCTGCGCTATCAGTTTGCTGCGGGTGTGACTGCCGCACTGCTGGTGTAACACCTACACTGCCCTGGCATAAACCATTCCATGAGGATGCTAGCCAGGAGCACTCTGTTCAGTGGAGCAGCTCAAGTAAGATATCAGCCACCATACCTCCGGGCATACACTAGCATACACCTAACTACTTCAAGTCAGCAGATCAACGTGTGTACTGTGTAGGTCTACGACTCGCACAATGCACTCGGACGTCTCGCACTCGCGTAATGCACTCGTAGGTCTACAACTCGCACGACACACTTATATAAGGTCCCTACTCGCATGATGACTTGACATAGCCGATGCCGAAGAGCTTGACTTGCTCGGTGAACAAATGGAATAGGTAATCGTAGCACTCGCACATCGTCTTCGCCTTCTCCCACGTCGGCCCCCACACGTACACTCCGTGATCCCGCACCAGCACAGCGTACGTGTCCGGGTACTTCTCCATGGCCTTGGCCATCGAGTCGCGCAGGTCCCTCTCGAACGGCGTGTTCTCGATGATGGGCACGATGAGCTTCTCCGGGTAGACGTGCGGCTTGCCGGTCGTGTATTTCAGTATGCCCTTGATCATCTCCTGGCTCTGGATCTGGAAGTGCGGCTGTCCGGCAAACAGTTGAGTAACCAGAACGGCCGACTCGGAGTGCGTGTGAATGACCGCGTCGGCCCGTCTCATCAGGTACGCGTTCATGAACAGCGGCGTGCACTGGCTGGGCGTGAGGGCAGGGTTGGCGGGCCGCTCCAGCTCCTTGCCGTTCTCGTCCATGATGAACATGTCTTTGGGCTGAATGCGCTCCTTCTGCACTCCAGACGGGGCGATGTAGATCAAGTCTTCGTGCTTTATGCTGATTCCTCCACCAGTACCTGTTACCCAGCCCATGTGGTAGAACTGCTCGCATAGCATCGGAATCAGAATCCGGGGATGGTTCTCAGAGAGATGCTCATACTCAGGCTGCTCTGTCCATTTGTTTTTCAAAGGCATTTTGAAGACTTAGCCAAGCACAGTTTTTGGTTTGATGCTCTCGACCTTGAACACTGGCTTCAAGGAACGCCTGTCACTCGTTCACGTCTTCCAGATAAGCTTGCAGCAAATGCCTCCGCCCTTGAGAAAAGCAGATGACACTGAAGGGAATAATAATTCTTACAATTGGCAATGAAAAATGAGTCGTGCACCCATTCCTGATTTTTTTGTCGATTCGAACGAATGCAACACGCCACCACGTGAGTCGATTTTGAACGTCAAGCCAGGCCAGATCTATGCCTATGCCATGTTACCTGGTTACGTATCATGTGTATGGTGCACATGTCATTCAACTTTTTCAAGTTTTCAAGTCATTTCATTCAGACAAAAGAAAGGTGCTTTGTTATTTTCACACATGTTCATGATTGTGCAGGCTCGTGATTATCACAATGTGTTTGTAAGAATTAGCTTTTGTCAACTAGTACTTGCTCCCGCTCCACTTCTAAAGAAGACAACAGTCGTAACTATTACCGACCATGGCATCCGTAGACTGGGATCCTGGCGAGGAGCTCCTACTGGAGAACCCTCGTGTTCGTCACAAGAAGAAAGATGGTGTGCTATATCTGACCAACAAACGGTTTGCTTGGACTGAGTATGCTGCATCGGAGTTCAGGGTGTCGCACTTCTATCCCGCCATTCGTGGTCAGTAGACACACGTCCATACGCGAACAAACTGCAAGATATCTTCACTTACGTTTTCCAGACGGGATACGCGTCTTTGTTTCCTAAATTCTAAATTCTTTATCTAAACGAATGTAGAAAGGAAAAGAACATAATGGATACGAGTTAAGAGTAACTGTCCACCACTGTAACTGTAACTAGATACTATATTATACAGTCAGAAAGTGGACAACTAGGCACAGGACTGGCAGAGAACTCGTATCCATTATGTCCTTTTCGTTTCTACATTATATTATTGGCTCAACATCAGAGTTTCTTTATCTAAATAATAAATTTTAAATTGTTTGCAGACGCACAGTTGAACAACGTCACCTATTACGCGAAGAAGTCAGTTTATCCAGAAGCCTTTCGGCCCATTCTTGTTCTTGCAACTGCGCTGAACCTTGTAATCTGCACTTCTCACTTGTTGCCAATGCCGCTCGTGAGATTGGGCCGAAAGGCTTCTGACGTCATTGTATGATGACATAAGTAACATCGTTAGTACATACCGACATAATTGAAATCACTGAGAAATGTTGTGGCAACAGCATGCCAAGAGATTGAACTGAAATAACACTCGAGCTTGTGAACGCTGGTATTGCGACACACTTACACATGCCCGTCGCTGAAGCGATGATTGCGAGCAAGCTATGTTAGACATAGCAGTTTGTGCTGGGATTACACCATTCACAGGTTCCGTTACGCGTGCACGCGCATGCACAACTTGTACTTGTACTTGCTCACTGCCAAATCTGGTCACACGGGTCTCCCTGGGAGGGGGAGAGAGATTTAATAGAATCTTGGAAAGATGACTCAACTGGCTATTGAACCAGACTACGGTCGACACCTCCTGAAATCCCCACACTCTGGGTGGACTTGGAAATGCACAAACACCCACACCCACAAAAACACACACCACACACACACGCACACACACACACCAGCTGCCGATCGACTGTGGTGTGTATTATCTCGTAGAGTCAAGAGGTGTACTGCAGTGATACGATGACGTGATGTGATTAATCATGATGCTTTGCAGTTTTTCAAATCACTTAGATTCATTGCCAGGCTTGAATTAGTATTCTTTCGACCTTAGTCCCCTCTCCCCCCCCCCCCCCCCCCACACACACACATATTTTCTCTTGTGAGGTGTGTGCAGTGCTGTTCAATGAATGACCAGTCACGACACTCAAGTTTGCGCCTTGCATCATTTTGCAGCCCAGTGTTCGCAGGTCTATGGCTGTGCAACACCCGGCGCATACTTGAGTGACGCGACTGGATTTCATTGAGCAGTGTCGCATCTCAATGTTTTGTATGTCCCTGAAGCTACAATTGTTCCTTTTTTTTTTAATTCCTGTCTGCTGTGACGTGCAGCGCAAAAGATCAGTCCGGAGACGACAGCCAAGATCCAGATGCAGATAGTCCTTCACGACAGCACCACCAACACATTCCACTTCGCCAATGACGCCACCGCGACTGCTGCGCGCTCCGAGCGCGACTCTGTCAAGGAGATGCTCGTGCAACTGCTGGCGCAGAACCGGGCCGTTCCGTCCAAGGAATTGGAGGAGAAAAACAGGTGGGTCTCAGCTAGTGGTCAAACGAATGTGCTAAACAGCGAATCGAACCTTCTCTGAATGTTCCTAACGAATACCGAACGAATGTCGCCCGTTCCATGATTAAGAAATCAGTAAGAAATTATAGCTACCAACCAGTATGTAACACTAAAACTTTTGTAAAAGGCACCCAAATCATAAGTGAAGTTGCACACTGCAAGTCTGCAACAGAGACTGTAGATGCCATGACTCATTTATGAAGTGGACAGTGATGGTAATGTACCCCTCCGTTCGTCTGCTTGTCCACAGGTCTGTAGTCAGCGCCATGGAGCTGGCCTTTTCAAGGTTCTCCACCTAACCACTGCACCAGCAACTTCAGGCCCGCGACGTGCTTCCGCTGAATTAGCTTTGTCACTTGAGTTGCAGGTAGCCAGGCTCGGGGTAGTTCATGAGCGAAAGGAACCCCCGCACCAGTGACTACGCTCACAGGCCGAAGATCTCTGCACACAAATTCCACCAATCGGTCGTCGCATCCAGAGCCTCAGAGGATCTAGCCGCTGGCACTTTCTTTGCCTTGAAGAAGGCAGTTATCCCTCCGTCCTTTTTCGGTATCGCCCCTGCGCCATCCAAGTCGACATAGTGAACGTCCTTCAGATGGTTACGTAAATTCGTTGTTCCGCCATGATCTGCCAAGTCTTTCGGCGGCTTGCACCGAGTACACGTAGCAATATTGTCGTGAGAATATAGATAATATTGTCAGCCGTTATCTCTATTCCAAAATCCCATACGGCAGAGCGCCTACTGTTCTCGGCCATGACGAACATTGGGTGGATTTGATGAAGAAAGACTCAACGACGGCTCTCAGCACTAGTTATTATTTCAGACAGACCGTCGAGTGTTGTCACGACTAAAATCGCCTGTGGCACTGCACTTCCAGTTTCACAGCCGGGCGCGGTGCACGCATGCAACGTTCAACCCAGACTAGAGTTCACTGCGCAGACTAGACCTACCGTAGTCTCTGGTCATGAAGACAGCGCGGCACGGCTTCAAAAGTAGACGTGTGTACGTGCTTGCATGCATGAAAATCGCTGCTACAACTTTACAAGTGCAGAGTTCACAGTTTTGTGAGTTACTATATTCGTTTGGGCGGTCAACTTGGCATTCGAATGTCGACTCGAGAACGAACGTTCGAAGCTTCTCAGCATTCGTTTGACCACTAGTCTCAGCACTACTGAGTGAAATCCGGCAAAGGAATCCTTACCAGCGGCACACATCCTGCTGCCGCGTATTGTAAAAAGCCATTCTTCTAACGAGCCGCAAATATAATGATTTCCTAAAACTGACCGGTTTACGTGTACCAAAGATAACGATTCTCATTCATTCTCAATGCTCACTGGTAACGGTATAAGTATCGATTTCTGTGTAGCATGGAAAAATGTGGGCACAAGTTATGCGATCGAGTCCACCAACTAAACCAGATTTTGGACATTCAGACGTGCACAATCTAGCACAAAACTGACAAGAAGTACTGAGACATTCCACGGCATGAAAGTCAGCTTGAGCACTGCTTGATAGCGCTAACGAACGGCCTTCCGACTTGGAAGGGTTCATGGATACTAGTGCCAATTCCAAAGTGGGGAAGGTAAACGCCATCGAACCAAGCACAAGCTACATTCCAAGGCTTCATGGAAGCCCACTTTTCCATGTTACAGTGTTTTCTTTGGCCCACCATCTGACTTCGTTATAATAATAATAATAATATAAAATCTTGTAGGACGCATCACGCAGCTTCATAAGTAAAAAATTGGTTGTGAGCAACACTGGCTCACACTCAAATAACTGCTTTTCACCAGAAAAATATTATATTTCAAAAAAATATAATATTTTTCTGGTGAAAAGCAGTTATTTGAGTGTGAGCCAGTGTTGCTCACAACCAATTTTTTAATAATAATAATAATAATAATACATTACAAGGCTTTTGCAGTATACGGTATGATACAGCATACTGCAAAAGCCTTGTATTATTGTGTCTACAAATTGTTGGCCCATTCAATTTTCAGCCTCCCGGGGCTAAAACCCATTTCGGCCGCATCAAAGTTCCGGCCTGTGTTGCTGCCGCCTGCATACACTGTCACACTGAACCTTGCAAAACGAAATTTCGGCCGCAACAAAATTTTCGGCCAAACATGACCAGGCCGAAAATAGATATCCGCCGAATATTTGTGGACTTACAGTACAAGGTAGATGTGGTTCAAAGTTGGATTCTGACCGGGGCAGAGGTAAAGAGTGTTGGAGACATTTCAGTTGCAATTACTTCAAAGTAGGATTGAATGCGTGCTGCAGTCAGTCATGAACAGCCGCTCCTTCGCCGTGTTTTTATTTCTGCTGCTGTTGCTTCTGCCGTTGCTGTCATCAATGTCGCCGTGTGCCGTACGTACGCTTTTGTTTTTCTTTGTTAGAATCCTGCAGAGCCACCCAGCCATGCACCGGCTGTATAAGGATTTAGTCGGCTGTAAGATCATGACTCCGGAGGAGTTCTGGGAGTTCCGTCTGCTGCAGGACTCTATCGATCAGTCGGCGCAGCAGAGCGCGGGTGTGTCGTCGGCGTTTCTGGTAAGACAGGCTGTCACTAATCAGGGACGTAGCTGGTCCCCCTTTTTGGGGGGGGGGGGGTGCACGGCCGCGTATGTGTATGATGGGTGGTGTATGTCATTCATGGTCATTATGTGCATGTTTATCTAGGTCGAAGTTTTTAGGGGGTGGGAGGGGGGGGGGGAGCACGTGCCCCCCCCCCCCCCCGTGCTCTATGCAACCTACGCGCCTGCACTTGTCAGTCCTGATGGTGGCCCAGGGCCGAACAATTGGTTGATATCTCTTTTTCAAATTCAGTGAAGTGACCGACTCACTGGATTGGTGGTGATTGACCCAATGGAACGCATGCATCAATTTCCCGCAATTAGGTTTTGCGGGGCAAGTCCACTACAACCGTACACACCTTGATACCAGCTAGCTCTGCATAAAAGGTCATGAACTTTGTGAGGTCATACTCATAAATGTACTATAACGGGTTGTACCTGCCAAGTATGGGGTAACTTGCCCCGCAAGAAGGTAACGGACATCTTAGATGCATACCTCTCATTACAGCAGATCTAGGTGCAGCGAGACCTGTCTCGGGAGCACCCCTACAGTAGGGGATCACATGTGTTTAGAGACACTGTGCCGCTTGCCCACACATAACGTTGTGTGTGTATTTGGAGATACTGCATCTCATGCCCGAACCATAGCATTGTCTCAGCCATCAGCATACTTTCTGACCTGTTTTGAAAGACCACCTCACCTGTCCCCGAAAGAATTAAAAAATAACTAAAAGCAAGAGTGCATAAACAAGAGTATGCAACTGTGGTTATGGGTCAGTGCGCGGCGCGCTGCCTTCATTACGTAACTTGCCTTCATCACGCTCTGAAAGCATGCATTCAAATTCACAATTTCTTGTACGAGCCCATCTGTTTTTGCTCGATTCGTTCCAGTACCTACGCGATCTCTAAATTCTGGCGCGTGAACTCCAGTTCCGTACGAAAGTTCATTTCAAACCAGAGGAAAAGTGCGGTGGTTGATTTTCCGCAGTGCGCGGACTGCAGCTGAATGATGTAATGAAGGCAGCGCGCCGCGCATCTGGCCCATAGAAAAGAGATCACAGTTGCATACTCTTGTTTATGGACTCTTGCTAAATGTTTACTAGCGTTTCGGAGGCAGCAACTATAATATGGCAATCAAGAGTACTAACTGCGCGGTAACCATGCTTTATTACAATACATGTAGTAACAAACATGCGAAAGAAATGTGAATGTACACATAGTTACGTACGTTCACTGAAGATCGTGACGAGAAAACCGTTCTGAACACTTCTTCTTCTTTTTACATGTACATTTCACATTCACATTTCTTTCGCATGTTACAGTCCATTCATTGGAAACTGGCACCCTAACTTTTTGGTGCCTCTATCGTGAAAACAACAGTACATCCTGCATTGTGTGACCCGTGCAATTACTCCTTGCCACATTTGAGGCCAGAAAAGTCCAAGAACAGGGAAATAGAAATTCAGCCAGGTTTTACAAAATTAGGACAGGTATGCCATGGCAAAATGTATGGAGAAGCAGATCCAAAACCCAGATTTTTGAGATTTAAAGTGGGTTTTTGATCCTCAATTCGGCCCAAATCCGACTTTCAAAAGCCAGCGGGCCAGTTTCCGATGAATGAACTGTAGTTACTATTGTAATTTTGGGAATGTGAACATAGTAAAAATAAATAAATAAATAAAGCATGGTTACCGCACAGTTAGCACTCTTGATTGCCATAACAGTTTACTATGCATCTTTACGTGGTCACCAAAACCAGGCTTCGCTGCTTTTTCTTCTTCTGCTCTTCATGTTTTCCTCGCTGTCTTCCCTTCAGGCCAATTTGCAACCGCAGATTGACGGCTGTAACAGTGTCCGTTACAACCTGAATCCCGACACGATAGCAGCGATCTTCAAAACCTATCCTGCCGGTGAGGGATTTCTTCAGGCTGTTCGTCTCGGCTCACAAACTAGAATTCACATGGAATGTTCTCCGTTGCCTGCGTGTGTGTAGAGAAGAGTAGGGACCCCTTTTGTGTGTCAAGCTGCATGGTACTGTCGTGGACATGGAAATCCGGTCGAATGACCAGGGCCGGCGCCCTCAGTGCGTACACAACGTTGCGTGCAATGCACATTGTTGATCGTATGCGTACTCACGGCTGCATGGCCAGCGCCCTGGGGCCGCTTGACCTCAGACCGGATTTCCATGTCCACGACAGCACATGCCGATAATTTAAAAGCATGGCCACCACCACCACTGCACCAGCATGTTACTCTCTTGGACAACCCATACATCTTGCAGGGACCGAGCTTGTTTGTATGTGTGTGTGCTCCCTGTGCTTTTTGTCGCAACAGTCAAGAGAAAATTCCAAGAGTTTGTGCCGGACAAGGTAGGGTGTGTTGCTTGACGATGTGTGTCAGCCTGCTATGGAGGTTTAATGGTTTATGTATGACTGTATCCTGTATTCATGATGTATGCCAGTGCTACTGACTGTACAATGCATGTAGACTGTATACTGTATGTTGTGCAAGCATTTATACTGTGATCGAACTTGATTGTCTTAGCTGGGGTGGGTGGGTGGGTGTGTGTGGGGGGGGGGGGGAGAGGGTGGGTGTGTGGGGGGGGGGGGAGGGTGGGGGGGGGGGGTACTATCTTTCCGATTACTGTAAGTCTACAAATGTTCGGCCCATTCAAATTTCGGCCTCCCAGGGCTAAAAGCCTAAAACCCATTTTTGGCCTCGTCAAATTTTCGGCCTGTGCTGCTGCCGCCTGTACACACTGTCACATTGAACCTTGCAAAACAAAATTTCGGCGCATATTTATTTTCGGCCAAACATGACCAGGCCGAAAATAAATATGCGCCGAAATTTTGTAGACTTACAGTACCCCTTTTGAGGGTGAGCCTAGACCATCACTGCTTTCCCCGTCTGAGCCTAGACCATCACTGCTTTCCCCGTCTGAGCCTAGACCATCACTGCTTTCCCCGTCTGAGCCTAGACCATCACTGCTTTCCCCGTCTGAGCCTAGACCATCACTGCTTTCCCCGTCTGAGCCTAGACCATCACTGCTTTCCCCGTCTGAGCCTAGACCATCACTGCTTTCCCCGTCTGAGCCTAGACCATCACTGCTTTCCCCGTCTGAGCCTAGACCATCACTGCTTTCCCCGTCTGACTTTTGTGCTCCGCTGTTCTTTGCTCAGCTGTCGGAAGTTCAGTTCTGGACGCAGTTCTTCCAGTCGCAGTACTTCCATCGCGATCGCCTGGGGGCCGGCAGCGCAGCCAAGGGCAAAGCGGATATGTTCAGCGAGTGTGCGAAGCAAGACGAAGCCGGTAAGGTGCAATCTCTGATCATGATCATCACGTAGATTCCTCTTACTGTGTTGGGGGAGATATTCGTTTTAAATCTTACAGTACAATGGAACTCACTTTGTACATACTCTGATAAGATGTACACTTGCTAGGTACGGGCATTGCCCAGCATGTGCTGCTCCTGTTTTCCATGTGCTGTCCCTGTTTTCCATGTGCTGTTTCTGTTTTCCATCCCATGCACCTGGCAGCCCAGCTCAAGTCTCATCTGGAAGCGGTGCAGAACCCTCTCATCGATCTCACCAAGCAGCCAGCCCAAGTGGAGGAGGTGAGTTTGCCGTACCCTTAGGTGTGTACATGTACAGTGCTGGCCAGAGAAATCCAACCTCATGAATAAAGTAGCGCCACGTTAGAGTGCACAGAACAGTGTGTGTAGTGCTAGGGCTGCGTAGCGCCCGGCAACGCTATTTTATTCATGAGGTTGGATTTCTTTGGCCAGTACCGTATATTGTGTCGTAGTGTGTACAGCAGCTGGTATTGCACATGTGTTTAATGTTGGTTTGTCGGAGGGTCTCTTTCGGCATATCTCCTTGCTGTCCCATACAATGGAGCATCAAAAGCAACACCAAATGTCCAACTTTGGGCACGTCACGTTTACAGGTTGTTTGCTTGTATGATTGTATCTCTGCTCATCAACCGTGACGTGGTGTTACATTTTTGTATTTGTCTTACCAACCAGGGCTATGGCATGTCGAGCACAACGAAGTCGTCTGTGCTGCAGCCGATGATGCGACGCTTCAACCATCAGAGTCTGATGATCCTCAACTCGTCTTCGTCGGCACCCGCCGAGACAAGCAACACCACTGCGGGGTAGGCCATGCAGACCTGTGCTCTTTGCACACAGTCACTGTACAGCTTGCTGTGTATCCGTACTACCTATTGTGCACTGGAAAAGCAGAAAATGTCGGTGGTGTTTTATTTTCGGTAACTTCGGTGCAGACAATTTTGACCTAAAATAAAACGCACCGAAAATGTCAGTACTAGTACTAGCACACTTAGCTGGAGAATACCGAAAATATTACATCACCGGAATTTTCTGCTTTTACAGTAACATGTTAGACCACTCGCCCACTGTTGAGATGTGTACACACATGTGCAGTGCTGCTCAATGCAATCCAGTTGCTTCACTCAAGTGTGCGCCTTGCACCGTTTCGCAGCCCAGTGTCCGCAGGTCTAGGGCTGCGCAACGCCCGGCGCGTACTCGAGCGACGTGACTGGATTTCATTGAGCAGCGCTGTGCATTGGTGTTTCAGCAGAAATGCTTTGATCCCTTCTTTCAAGTGTGTGTACAATCAGACCTCGCATAACCGCACACATCCGTTTTTCCACAAAAATATCCGGATAGCCGAGGGAACCGGATAATCGAACACACATACTGTATGTATGCATGGCAAATGCTGTAAATCGGTAACCAACGATTTTCTTCCGGATGGCGAGGGATCCGGATAAAAGAGGACCGGATAAGCGAGGTTTGACTGTACTAGGCTCTGCACCTCGGTGCATTGAGCACTGTCACGAGCAGCCACAACTCTCTCCGAGTGTACACTGGTGTGCTGTACAGTAAACCCTGTCAAGGTGACCTCTCTGATAAGGCCACCTCTCTGATAAGGCGACCTCTTTGATAAGGCCACTGCATGTCCTAGAAGGCCACTGAGACCAGGATCAAGGGATGGTATTTCCAGTCTAATGACCTTGGATAAGGAGACCACCTGGTAACCGAGACCACATGTTTGAAGGTCCCTTGAGCGGTCGTCTTAGACAGGTTTCACTGTACATTCCTTGTCCCTTGTGGTGTGCTCAAGCAAGAGGTCAGCACTTGCTCTCATGCAACTGATCTGCTACAGAAATGCTTGTAGAATTGAAAAGCAAGACAGTGTTGGCAAGTCTTGGTTTGCTGTTGTTATTGTGTGTGTGTGTGTGTGTGTGTGTTAAATCTAGATCGGCAGCACAGTCATCTTCGGCTTCGTCCACTGCAGTCGAGCCAGCAGCAAAGCGATCACTTGTAAGCCTTCTTATTGTGAAAAGCAAGACATGAAACACGGTTGCCGTAAAATGGATTCTTTTCTGCTCTTGACGTCCTCTCAGTTATTGTTATCCTACCTGCAGAATATTTTTTCTTGTTGTTGTCGGTGTTTGAATTCTTTATTCTCACAATGGCACCATCGCCAATAGGAGAGTTGTTGTAATTGTTGTTGTTCTTGTTCTTGTTCCTGCTGTTGATATTGTTTTTTTGGGTTTTTTTCCGTTTTTGTTGTCATCACCCTTGTGGTGTGCGTGTCACGCTGCTGCTTCTGCTGCTGCTTCTGCTGCTTCTGCTGCTGCTGCTTCTGCTTCTGCTGCTGCTTCTGCTTCTGCTGCTGCTTCTGCTTCTGCTGCTGCTGCTTCAACTGTAGGTACCATCCCTGAGGGACACGGTCATTCTAGAAGACCTGGCCGAGGGAGAACAGGCTAAGCTGCCGTCGCTGCAGATCCGCGACCTGGGACGCTTTGCCGAGGGACCCACCATCGCCCCGCAGGTCAGTCTTTTTAAAACAACTGTCAAGGGAGTCACACACGGTACAACCAGTATGACCATGGGCGTACCACTTTTCGTCCAGGATGGTCCTCAAGAGAGCGCCTGTAGAGCGCTAAAACATGCCCTGTTGGCCAAGAAATCCAATTTCTGTCCCCCGGTGATACCCCGGACCCCTGGTCGTACCACTCCCCAATGCTATATGACACCCCGGCCTGTACTACTATGCCTCTTGGTCAAGAGTACACGGCATGGCTCACAACCCCTTCCTGTGTTAGCAATCACTTGACATCAGCACACTGAAGATCTTCGTTGGAAAATTCTTGTGCATGCCACTGGTGTTATTGATCGCAGTGCAACCGTCAGCTATTGCACATTGATTGCTGCAGTGCGACCACACTGCGACAACAGTGTGACCACAGTACGATCACAGTGCGAGCACAGTACAAACACTGAATGGGTACACACCAGTCAATGTATTCTGCTGCTTATCAGTATTTAGTACATTGAGATCGTGTCAATAGAAAAAGTGCTTTGCTGGCCGGTACAGCACCCAATGTGTAGCATTGACAATGCCTCCACGAGTTCGGGCTGTATCTCTCTTTCCCTGTACACACGTGTCTAGATTATCCAGTCGACTGCGGATGCGACCAATACGGAGCTGTCGCAGGCGGACACCGGCTTCCGCCACACCGTCGCCCATCTATCTTCTAACCTCTGCCAGGTAGGATAGGATGAGATTGATCAAGTTAGTACCGGGTTTTCCCGACTACAAGCCGCCCCCAGATTTTGTCACAAAGTACCGACATCCACCACCCTGTTTATCACAGTTAATTTCACCCATCATAGTGTAAGCCTTTGGGGTGACTTACTGGTGTGTCTTACTGGTGTTTAATTAAAGTGCGGTTTATACTCCGGATTATACGGGGTAACCTCCGGTACATTTCTACTTCCTGAACGGTAGTGTTCTTGTGTTGTAGCTGCTGGACACATGCAGCAGAACTAGAACTGCTCGTTCTTCATCGATTTTTGTGTAGTTTTCCATTTATCTACGGCCAGCCAGTTCTTTGTCTCCCCTAGCAACTTGGGCCAAAATCTGACTGGCAATGTGTGCGCTAGTTGTGCGTGTAATGCGATCAAGGGTGAGTTTGCTTGGCCGACTGCTGTTTGTTGTTATTTTTATAGATTCTCCACAGACCTTGCAGCTCATACCCTGGATAATAGTGCATTGGTGTGTGAATTTCTGTACTCGTGTTAGTCTTCTGATCCAGCGGCATGTGTCTACTGTTCTTGCAGGCCACCCGTGGTGAGAAGATGGAGGAAGTCTTTGCTCAGCTGTCGTCCGGACAATGGCCGGGGGAGAGCACTGGCCATACTAGCTTTGGTAGGTGTGTGTGTGGGGGGGGGGGGGGGGGGGTTGAGTGCATACATGTGTGCACGTGTACATACTTTGAAGTACATGGAATAGTTAAGAAGCAGCGCATACAAAAGAACTCCACGGATCGCAGTGCACTGAGTAGCACTGGCGAATACAATCAAGTGTTGCGATGCTCACGCACTTCGGCATTCACAAGACGTGACGACGCTCTGTGCATGAATACTTGACGACCTAAAGTTGGGACCCTGTCTTCTTTTGGGCCAGTTGTCACGAAGACTGGGGGCATAATACTGCGCTCTGTGCAGTTCCTGCGTGTTCAGGTATTTGGGATGGGCCTTAGGGCCGATTTCCACTACGGTACCGTGAGTGCCGTGCCAACGATTTGGGTAGGTCACGTGTACGCCACGGTACGAGCTTGAAGCTGAGAGTGATTTACACCTGCGCACAGTCATTCCGTGCATTCCGTCGGCAGGCCGGATCACCATTTTTTATCAATTTCTGACTTTGGTCCTGAGGGAAAATAGCGGGGGAGATGACTGGAGAAAGCTCAAGAATCAACCGATCGAAAAGCCAAAAGCCAAGAAAAAACTTCGTACCACAAATACAAAAGAAAGAAAAAACTTCCTTTCAGGGAGTAGTAAAATACCTCCTACTCACTGCATTCGACCTCATGGAATACCACGGCATGCCATTTCCATCCCCCAGAGACCCTCGGCACCGGAATGTCCACGGCGCAGTACGGCAGGAGCCACGGAATGAACTCGCGCCAAAACTGCCCCTCACGTGAGCAAATCACCATGGGTACTCACAGCACGGCACTCACGGTACCGTAGTGGAAATCGGCCCTTATGCATTACGTTGCCTGCACGGTTTAAAGTGCAGGCAACGTATGCACAGCACAGTCTATGTTGCCTGCACATTAAAAAGGTGACTTTGTGTTGTTACGTTGTACCCATAGTGCATTGCTGGTGAGATGGGTACAGTAAAATCTGTGATTAGCGACCACCCCTTGGGGCCAGAGAAAGCGGTCTTTAGTGGCAGGTGGTCCTTAGTTAGAGGTTTGCACCGCACAACCATATATGAATGTGAGACTGTCCGTGCCTGGCGAAGTGGCCTAGACTTTAGTAGCAGGCTGGTCGCAAGTCACGGTTGTCTTTAGTTACCGGTTTTACTGTACTTTCTGTGCCTGACTGCTCACTGTGTGCTATTAGCCCTGTCTGATTCGCTGAAGGAGGAACTTCATAGTCATCACCTGGCGGTGGGGGAGCTGTTACGCCATTTCTGGTCCTGCTTTCCCGTCAGAACGAAACAGCTCGAGGAAAAGGTCAGACTCAGTGTGCTGTGGCACTGCATGTTATCCCGCTGCTGCTTTGATAAGCTAGGAAGCCATGTACGCACCGTGTTGTCTCTCTCCTCTCCTTTCCTCTTCTCTCGGTCTCTGCCTTTGCCCCTGTCTCTTCCTTTGTCTGTCTGTCTATCTTTCTCTCCCTCCCTCCCTCCCTCCCTCTCACACTCTATCTCCATGCGTTTCATTCTGTCCTGTTGCAGCTGGTGCGGATGGGTAGTGTACTGCAGGCGTATCGTAGCAATCAGCTCGCCATGTTCCAGGAGTCTCTGGTGCACGAAGACGGCGAGGTCAGTGCTGACATCTGCAGTTGGTTAAAGTCTATTTTGTTGGCGTTGTCTGCCGCTGTGTCTCTATCCTAGGTACTCTTAATGATAAGTCCGGTTAGAGACGGATTACGAATGCCGGATCAGTGTGGTAATATGACTGGCAATGATCCTTGTCTTAAGAGAGAAGCCCTGGCTGAAATAGAGATTGCCCAATAAAAAGAGGTCTGGCTGTATAGAAGTGCCGTACCCTTCATGAACCCAAGCACAAACTTGTGTCATTTAGCACTACTAAGTACACTTCATGCACTCCCAAACCAATTTCCGGATACTCGACTGGTCGTAGCTCCATGCTTTCGGAGTGCTAGCCTCTAAGCTGCACAAGCTGCACCCCCCCCCCCCCTTTAAATTTTCGCTTCGCTTTTGCCCCCCTTTTTTGGCCCCAGAATTCTCATATTTGGTTGACGTTCGAAGTAGAAGCTTCAAGTCAGATTGTTGAATCTTTTGGCCATCCTAACTAGTAACTGCCGGTGCATACAGTACATTACCAATGGTTAGAAAGTTGAGAGGCACGGCTGAAGTTCTAGCAAAAGTTTCCTAGTTTGTCCTTCAGTGCCAGGTTTCACTCCGAACTCTCCGAACTGACAACAAGTAGAAACTTTGCACTACAGTCTGTCCACAAAAAGAAGGCAGTGTGACTTTTTCAGTGAGTTTTTCATATATTTCACAAGTGGGAAATGTGAACAACACAGACAAAATTCAGGTGGATGCACAATAGAGTGCTCTTCGAGGTTTTTTTTAAGTGTCAAAAAAGATGACTTGGCCCAGTGCAAACAAAGTGAATGACTTTCAGTTCTCATGAGATGCACTGCATTTCTTTTTGTGGACAGACTGTAGTGCAATGATGGATTGCAGTACATGAGACTTAGTCGAATGACGCAGTATGTACCAGGGAGTCGTAAAATACCGGTATTTTACAACTCCCTGGTATATACGATATAATATATGCATGGAGCGCTGCAGCGCTGGTCGACTCGCACGTAGCATTCAGGGTCAAAGCCGCAGGGGCGATATTCGAGTGAGTTTTGATGGATTTTTAACTTTAAAGTGCGACTCACACTTCGGAAAATAGTAATGGTAATTGATGTTTTGGAGAATTGTTCAGCAGCTGTACATGTACAGTAAACACCTGTCAAGGCAACCACCTGTCCTGGAAGACCACCTGTCCTGGAAGACCACCTGTCCTGGAAGACCACCTGTCCTGGAAGACCACCTGTCCTGGAAGACCACCGGTCCTGGAAGACCACCTGTCCTGGAAGACCACCTGTCCTGGAAGACCACCTGTCCTGGAAGACCACCTGTCCTGGAAGACCACCTGTCCTGGAAGACCACCTGTCCTGGAAGACCACTGAAACCAGGACCAAGGGACCCTGTTTCCAGTCAAATGACCCTGGATAAGGAGACCACCTGGTAACAGAGACCACGTTTTCAAGGTCCCTTGAGCGGTCGTCTTAGACAGGTTTCACTGTAATTTGACTTCACACATCATGTACAATGATTATGTATTCTGTGTGCTTGTGCACAGCTCACCAGTCACATACACGAAATGATCGACGCCGGGCTGGAGAAGTACCGCTCTTGGCAGGCACGGCAGACGGCGAGGCGCCGCACCTAGCAGGCAGCGACAGCAGCAGCAGTAGCGACACCTTGGCGGCGTTGACGGGTGTCGGCGGACCTGCGCTCCTCCGCTCCTCTCTACCTGTTACGGTGCTGCTGTGCCTTGCGTTTTGCACCGTGCGCTCTGTTCTGTAACACGGTTCTTGTGTGCATGTAGCCAGCTGGAACACACGGCATGCAAGTCACTGAACTGTAGCAGTGACCATTTTGAAAGGACCTCGACCTGTCGGAAATGCTCCGGCACTAGCTGCTGGGTGTGAGCCAGACGGACCACACACACCAAAAAAACCGATCTGCATGCGGTCAACATAAGCGGCCAGCTAGTGCATGCTGCATGCTGCATGTGGCGCGTGCGAGTCGACTCGTACACTGTCGTACGACATATTTGTCTGCCGTACCCTGTACACTGCATGCACATGCACGGCCAGCTAATGGGGAGCGTCTGCACCCAGATCTTGGAACGGCCCGCGGGATGACCTGATGCGCAGAAGATCAGTTTTTGACTTCGTATCGAGCTACCTTAAAAAGCAGTAGCTTTTTTACTTACGACCCCCACAATCCCGGTCCAGTTTCTCCGAACAATGGATGCATCTCGGACATTCAGCCTTTTTTATTATTTGAACACACAACCCACACAGGGAACCCACCCGGTACCGCTCTCATTCTCCCATGCTTTTAGTATTTTTTTAGAATGTGTCGAATAAGCATTCCATGACAGTTTTGTTCAACACAGTATATTTTTAACGTCCCATGTACTAGTATCGCTGAAAAAAGTCTAGAAAAGAACACCTGAAAAAGTAAATTCCATATTTCTAGTTTTTGCCCATTCAACTCCGTAATGCACGTGTACATGCTGTTGAGATCAGACGTGAAGATCTCAACAGTCAGTGTAGTGCGTGAGCAAGGAGCACATGTGTGTTTGCCGTGTTAGGAGACTGACCTTTCAGTTGTGTTCACGCACATACTAATTATGCTGGTCTTGTGTCACCCTATTGTGTATACATGGTATAGCAGTGAGCATGCGCGTTTGAGCAGCTACTGATTGTCATGACAACAAGTACATGCATGGTGAATGAAATGTGGACCCAGTGTACTCTCTACAGCTCTGAGGACCATGTTGTGGCCATCAGCCGCGAGTCCATGGAGACGACACGGGAAACTGACCGACGTGGGTTTCATTCCCAGGCTTCCCGTTTCAGTAACACTTGGGGCAGGGCCTTTGAGGCATCGCTTTGGCAATGGGGTCTGCAGGTCAGGTCTGCGATTGTGAGTTGCATAGATCACCGATCAGGCGGAACTTGGGAATCCAGAGTCAAAATGTTCATCGTTTCGGGTACCATGACCTCGTGTGGTCTCTTTGTACGCTACAAGGCTCCCTGGTGACTATGCGCCCACACATGAGGTACTCAAAAGCCAGCTGTATTGCTGAAAGTGCATGTTGCTCCGGATTTCACTTTCCACAACTGCACGAATAGCAGCAGTAGAGATGAAAATGTACAGAAGAGAAAAAGAGGAAAACTTATTCGTGAAATCTGGCCTCGGATAGAGAGCCATAAAATTAAAAAACAATAAAGGACCAAAGGTTTTTTCAATGTATATGGTCCATACTAAATTTTGTGAAGTTGAAATATTTTTCATGAGCCTATGCTATTAACGATGCACCGTATACATGTACATGACTGTCTGCTTGTGAGTTCTGGAAGTCTAATAGAATACATTCCTGCCGGGCGATAACTGCTGCAAGTTAAAATTTACTGGAAGTCACTGCCAGCTACAACCATACATGTAAACCATACATGTACAGTAGTTTGTTTTCGATCCATCAGAATCAATGTGTGGCTATTTGTCTCAACATCACTGCTTCCCGCTGCGCTCATCCTCGCTGCGCTTCGTAGCGCAAGTGAGGGCAAGCATTGTAGAGACGTTCCCTGAGTGCCCGCACGTCTAGAGTGCTGTACTGCTCCACGAACGTATTCTCGTCCACGATGAAGTAGACCAGGCCCTGGTCATCCGTCTGCGCTTGTCCTACGAAGACAAACGTGTTGCCATACAGGTCCGGGCAGCCACACTGCTTGTCGCCGCCGTCCACGCGCACCATGGGATGGTAGACAAAGCTGGTGGTGATCTCCATGCCCTCGGGCTTGTGCAGCACGGCCTGCGGTATCGCCGAGAACAGGGTCGTGTTCGGTGGTGCCTGTGCCGGATGATCAGTCACGACTCGCGCTGCAATGGCTGCATGTAGTGTGAGGGGAAACGACAATACAAAGCATGTGCGGATCCGTACACACAACACACACACACACACACACATACACTTCAAGAGATCGAGTGGCTGACACTAAATTGCCTACTGCTATTTTCAGCTTTGGCCTGACAGTTGGCAGATTCCATGCACGGTCACCTCTCCATTGTCATCATGCATTACTGCATGTGCATACGTCCATAAAATTAGAAAGCATTCAGGGACATGCAGTGCACCATGGTGTAAACTGAACTCCTTTTTTTTTTTTTTACTAAGGCCACAGCTTCCAATCATGACATGCAAAGCAGCGGTGCAGCATCGCAGGCATGAATCGTGGACGTGGTGACGGGGTCTGATGTGCTCCACCGACCTAGGGTCTCGGCTTCACTGCACAGCAAACGCGTCGAAAGAAAACGGGTGCTAATAATTATCGGGAGATGGGGGGGGGGAGAAGAAGAGAGGAAGAGAGAGAGAGAGAGAGAGAGAGAGAGAGAGAGAGAGAGAGAGAGAGAGAGAGAGAGAGAGAGAGAGAGAGATACAACATCACATGCCCTCAAATTCCACCCTTAATCCACAGCATGGGTCATACAGCCACGCTTGCCTATGATGATGAGCAGTGTCTGCTCCAGAGCCAGGTCAGCGACCCGGTTGGTGGTGGGGGGGGGGGGGGGTACTTGGACCCGCTTGGAAAAAGAACACCGGGTCACTCGTGACCTGGTTGGGACTGAATCCGAAGGCTCTCTGATGTCCAATACGGCAATAGCCGCACTTGAGTGTACCTGGAACCGACCCGGTTGCAAGAGTTGTGCCAGGTGCATGTGTACCCGGCTGGTTTGAAATCTGAGAGCAGACACTGACGAGTCTAGTGCAGTCGACTGCCGTTGCTGTCATGCCATCACATCAATTATGCCGTGCAGACTCTCCTGTTGATATGTGCGTATATCATGCATGTCAGTGCCCAAAGTCACCAACTGTGGTGTTCCCCAGGGATCGCATCTGTCTCCTCTACTGTTCGTGATCTACATTAATGAACTACCAGAAGCCATACATCATTCGCACACCTTCTTGTTTGCGGATGATGTCGCTCTAATTTTGCCGTACAAAGGCTCTCTGTCAAGTCCTGGTATCCAAGCGGACATTTATGCATGCCAAAACTGGGCCAGGGAAAGAGGCGGAGAGTTTTCGCCCTCAAAAACTTCTGTTTTAAGCTTCCGTTATAAGCCAGCGGCAGCATCATCACCGGCACCAACATCTGCCACCTACACTATGGAGGGTCTACCTCTTCCCAGTATTGACATCCTCAAACATCTGGGAGTTCGCTTCAGTGCAGACCTAAACTTCCGTCAACACTACCTTGACAGTCGCAAATTCAAGCAGAGAGTACGCCTACTTTGTCACATGGCACATCGTCTTACACCGCAGGCCATGATGCTCCTCTACAAGTGCTATGTTAGACCTGTGATTGAGTATAGCGTCGTAGTGTGGTCCTTTCGTCTTCGTTCAAGCGACTTGACTGAGCTGGATAGAGTCCAGGCCAGGTTTGCAAGATCCTACCTTAGGAAACGCAAAATCCAAATCGACTTTAATACACCCAAGCAGGATCTTAATAAAAAAAGCTAACATTGAATCCCTTCTTCACCGTAGGCAGTTTTTAAGCTTGGTTACCATGCACAAATTTATTTTCAAGTATCGACGTTGCCTAGCTTCATTCCATTTCAATATCACGCAGAGTGCGAGACGCCCTAACAAAATTATTCTCCCTAAAGCAAAGACCACATCAAAATCGTTGTTTCTCTTCCAAACCTCCCTCTTATGGAACTGCCTCCCACCAAGACTAACTGCAGAACCATCCATTATTGTTTTCAAGAATGAGCTTCGCAAACTCACTTGCAAACATAGTGCTTCGCTCTCCGGTATGCCTACGCCATGTACATACCCCCCCCCCCCCCCCCCCCCCCGTGTGCTCCCCAACGCATTCACGCTGCACAACTTTTCACTACTTTCACTTTAGCTCATACGTGTACATGTACATGTACATCCTTCAAAGCGGTGAACCCCTTGATAGGCGACAAGCCTCTGGGTCATCCTAATAAAGATATTATTATTATTATCATGACGGTGAAAGATCGTATAAAAAGTGGTTCCTACATCGAAATCGTCGATTTCATTGCACAGGCAAGTCGGGATTTCCACGCGAGTACAGTAGAACCCCCGATCCCTTAGCAGACACCTCTCAACAAAGGACACTTCTCAACAAAGGAAACTTCTCAACAAAGGACACTTCTCAACTAAGGACACTTCTCAACTAAGGACACTTCGCAACTAAGGACACTTCTCAACAAAGGACACTTCTCAACAAAGGACACTTCTCAACAAAGGACACTTCTCAACTAAGGACACTTCTCAACTAAGGACACCTCTCAACAAAGGACACTTCTCAACAAAGGACACTTCTCAACAAAGGACACTTCTCAACAAAGGACACTTCTCAACAAAGGACACCTCTCAACAAAGGACACGTCTCAACTAAGGACACCTCTCAACAAAGGAAACTTCTCAACTAAGGACACCTCTCAACAAAGGAAACTTCTCAACTAAGGACACCTCTCAACAAAGGAAACTTCTCAACTAAGGACACCTCTCAACAAAGGAAACTTCTCAACTAAGGACACCTCTCAACAAAGGAAACTTCTCAACTAAGGACACCTCTCAACAAAGGAAACTTCTCAACTAAGGACACCTCTCAACAAAGGACACTTCTCAACTAAGGACACTTCTCAACTAAGGACACTTCTCAACTAAGGACACTTCTCAACTAAGGACACCTCTCAACAAAGGACACTTCTCAACAAAGGACACTTCTCAACAAAGGACACTTCTCAACAAAGGACACTTCTCAACAAAGGACAAGGACACTTCTCAACTAAGGACACTTCTCAACTAAGGACACTTCGCAACTAAGGACACTTCGCAACAAAGGACACTTCTCAACAAAGGACACTTCTCAACAAAGGACACTTCTCAACTAAGGACACTTCTCAACTAAGGACACCTCTCAACAAAGGACACTTCTCAACAAAGGACACTTCTCAACAAAGGACACTTCTCAACAAAGGACACTTCTCAACAAAGGACACCTCTCAACAAAGGACACGTCTCAACTAAGGACACCTCTCAACAAAGGAAACTTCTCAACTAAGGACACCTCTCAACAAAGGAAACTTCTCAACTAAGGACACCTCTCAACAAAGGAAACTTCTCAACTAAGGACACCTCTCAACAAAGGAAACTTCTCAACTAAGGACACCTCTCAACAAAGGACACTTCTCAACTAAGGACACTTCTCAACTAAGGACACTTCTCAACTAAGGACACTTCTTAACTAAGGACACCTCTCAACAAAGGACACTTCTCAACAAAGGACACTTCTCAACAAAGGACACTTCTCAACAAAGGACACTTCTCAACAAAGGACACCTCTCAACAAAGGACACTTCTCAACAAAGGACACTTCTCAACTAAGGACACTTCTCAACTAAGGACACTTCTCAACTAAGGACACTTCTCAACAAAGGACACTTCTCAACAAAGGACACTTCTCAACAAAGGACACTTCTCAACAAAGGACACTTCTCAACAAAGGACACTTCTCAACAAAGGACACTTCTCAACAAAGGACACCTCTCAACAAAGGACACTTCTCAACAAAGGACACTTCTCAACAAAGGACACTTCTCAACAAAGGACACCTCTCAACAAAGGACACTTCTCAACAAAGGACACTTCTCAACAAAGGACACCTCTCAACAAAGGAAACTTCTCAACTAAGGACACCTCTCAACAAAGGAAACTTCTCAGCTAAGGACACCTCTCAACAAAGGAAACTTCTCAACTAAGGACACCTCTCAACAAAGGAAACTTCTCAACTAAGGACACCTCTCAACAAAGGACACTTCTCAACTAAGGACACTTCTCAACTAAGGACACTTCTCAACTAAGGACACCTCTCAACAAAGGACACTTCTCAACAAAGGACACTTCTCAACAAAGGACACTTCTCAACAAAGGACACTTCTCAACAAAGGACACTTCTCAACAAAGGACACTTCTCAACAAAGGACACCTCTCAACAAAGGACATTTCTCAACTAAGGACACCTCTCAACAAAGGAAACTTCTCAACTAAGGACACCTCTCAACAAAGGAAACTTCTCAACTAAGGACACCTCTCAACAAAGGAAACTTCTCAACTAAGGACACCTCTCAACAAAGGAAACTTCTCAACTAAGGACACCTCTCATCAAAGGACACCTCTCAACTAAGGACACCTCTCAACAAAGGAAACTTCTTAACTAAGGACACCTCTCAACAAAGGACACCTTTCAACAAAGGACACCTCTCAACTAAGGGCACCTCTCAACTAAGGACACCTCTCAACAAAGGAAACTTCTCAACTAAGGACACCTCTCAACTAAGGGCACCTCTCAACTAAGGACACCTCTCAACTAAGGACACCTCTCAACTAAGGACACCTCTCAACTAAAGACACCTCTCAACTAAGGACACCTCCCATCTAAGGATGACCGCATTGAAGACGCATGTGCAACGGCCCGATTGTTCCCAAGCCAGTTGCATATTTTAGACACATCTGATAGCATTACCCCAGTGACGACAGTGACAAAATGCAGTGACGGCAGGGACGGCAGGGACGACAGGGACGACGTGGACCACATTGACGACAGTCTAGTGATGACATCAAGAGTACATGAAAACCAGAGTGTGCAGCTCGGATGGGTTGCTGTCACGGCGAAATTCCGTGATTACATCATTTTAGTGATGTAGTGCGTACAAGCAGGATTCAAGCAGGTCTCTTTCTGCACAACTGCAGCTCAGTTGTACGCACTACGCCATTTCCCGCCTCAGATCTGGGCCAAATATGATGTAATCACGGAATTTCGCCGTGACAGACACCCATAGCAGAAAAGGCCCCAAGCTGCACACTCTGGTTTTCATGTACTCTTGATGACATTGACAACAGTAGCTTGTATGGTCGCCAGGGTGCATGCAATGGAGAGACTTGTTCACATTGTGAAATAGGTACACTGCCTGCCATCATGTTACTCACGTACCATACACGTTGGGACTGTTCACCGGACACGCTTCATACATTTCCGTTTTCCGGCAGGCTTTACCGCTGCACGGCGACTTTGGGGGTAATTGTCCGTCAGCATTCCGCTCTGTGCATAGCAAAATATACATGAAAAGAACAGAACTTTCATTCTCATGAATGAGAACATTGAATTGACTTTTAATTAAAGCTATCGGCAATTACCCAGTGATTACCCAGTCAATTTGCAGCATTCATGGATGCACACTGCGCATACGGTTGAATCTACTCACTGCATATTCTTTCGCATCTCGCCATGTCAGGAAAGTTGTTCTCGTTGCCGCCACATCCACCGTACATGAACACCACACAGCTTGATGTTAGCTTATCGTAAGAGTAGCGTCTCTCAGAGAACCGAAAACAGGGACCAGCTTGATATGGCGTCTGCTCACAAGGTTCTGAAGCTGTATACAACAAAAAGAGAGAGAGAGAGAGAGAGAGAGAGAGAGAGAGAGAGACTCGGAGAGGGAGAGGGAGAGGGAGAGGGAGAGGGAGAGGGAGAGAGAGAGAGAGAGAGAGAGAGAGAGAGAGAGAGAGAGAGAGAGAGAGAGAGAGAGAGAGAGAGAGAGAGAGAGAGGGAGAGGGAGAGGGAGAGGAAGAGGAAGAGGAAGAGGGAGAGGGAGAGAGAGAGAGAGAGAGAGAGAGAGAGAGAGAGAGAGAGAGAGAGAGAGAGAGAGAGAGAGAGAGAGAGAGAGAGAGAGAGAGAGAGAGAGAGGGAGGGGAGAGGGAGAGGGAGAGGGAGAGGGAGAGAGAGAGAGAGGGAGAGGGAGAGAGAGAGGGAGAGAGAGAGAGAGAGAGAGAGAGAGAGAGAGAGAGAGAGAGAGAGAGAGAGAGAGAGAGAGAGAGAGAGAGAGAGAGAGAGAGAGAGAGAGAGAGAGAGAGAGAGAGAGAGAGAGAGAGAGAGAGGGAGAGAGAGAGAGAGAGAGAGAGAGAGACACCAACAGTACAATACTATTACACAGTACTAATGGCCAGTGTATGTCCGTAATGTCCTGTATTGCAGCTTTCAAAGAAGTGCTATCCATACCTGGTCATGCACATGTAAGCCCCAGACAATGCTTGTGCTTCTCTCTACTCTCTAATACGGACATAGTCTTTAACTAGGGTGAAGTGGTCCATACCGAAGTATGCTGTGATAAGACCGAGTACCTCACATACTAAGTACACTTTCATGCTGCCCACGGGGGTACGTATGATTCCGAGACCTCTGGTCGGATGAGCCTCGCCAACCACATCGGCACGTCGCCCCTACTCCCCTTCGACTTGTTGTCCAGTGTCACTTCAGTTGTCCTCTTTCCCTGAATATTAGTAGGGCCGGGGCCCGTGTTTGCTAGTAGAAAACAATTGCCAGATTTTCCTGTGTACGAAAACTCTCCAGAAGCAAACGTATGCCAACCATGGTATAGGATTTTGCATGGTTGCCCTGGTTGACTTACCTCGAAAGCATCGCTCCAAGCAGGCGACCTTGTTGAGGAAGGAGTTGTCTCCGACAAAGCAGGAGCCGTGGAGGTAACTCTCGCATGCGCCAGTCTCGGCGTTATAGAACCACCTGGAATACTGGGCAAAGCAGCCACTGCCTTCAGGAGCACTGGGCTTGGCTTGATTACAAATACCAGCTGCAATAGAGAGAGGGGGAGGGAGAGAGAGGGGAGGAAGCGGGGGGGGGGGGAGAGAGAGAGAGAGAGAGAGAGAGAGAGAGAGAGAGAGAGAGAGAGAGAGAGAGAGAGAGAGAGAGAGAGAGAGAGAGAGAGAGAGAGAGAGAGAGAGAGAGGGGAGGGAGGGAGGCAGGGAGGGATGGATGGATGGAGGGAGAGATGGAGGGAGGGAGAGAGAGGGGGGGGAGGGAGGGAGAGAGAGGGGGGGGGGGGGGGAGGGAGAGAGGAAGGGAGGGAGGGAAGGAGGGAGACAGGCAGAGAGAAAGACAGAGTGGGTGGGTGGAGAGAAGGGGAGGTGACAATCCCTTTGGTAGCTGCTAATGGTGATAGAGTTTTCAAGGACTTGAGACTTCTTGAAGCACCATTGACAAGACGTGTGTGTGGATATGTATTGCAATGAACCATGCTTCCAGTACTACAAAAGGAACAAATCCTAGCGGCCATATCGCATGCGTGACTTTGCATGTACATTGCCATCCGACAGCTTTCTTTTGCAGACTCTCCCCTCTACAGGCAGCTAACTAGCTTGTTATATAATATCAAGAGTACATAAACCAGAGTGTGCAACTCGGGATGGTTCCTGTGGGAGCGTAATTCATGCAGTACAGTACGTCATTTCTGACGGCATGGTAAACCACAGGTACGGTGAAAAGTTGTGTAACCAGTCACGGTGGTGCAGGTCACTGAGTTTGTCCTGATTTCGGTTTTTTGAGACGGATAGCCTGGTGACTTTACTTGTCGGTGGATTTACGCAGCGTACATAGTCACATAAAACACCGAAATCCTGAAACATGACGTCTAAAATCAAGCAAACTTGCCTGATTTCCGGGCTATGAAACACGAAAATTTGAGCTGTAGGCAAGTCGCGGCTTGGCGGCTCACCTCATCAGGGTGACGTAGTGCACGAACTGCGCTGTTTCAGATCTGATATGCACAGTTGCACACTCTGGCTTATGTACTCTTGTTGATAATATGTTGTACACAGTTCAAGAAGTTGCTGTTCACGTCCTGCATGCAATACTGTCACTGCGGAGATATTGAAGAAAATTAATAATAAACTCGGATGGAGAGCCGCCAAGGATTAACATTTTAAGAAGGAAGGACGGTTGGACGTTATGACTAATCAATATTATGCTTATACATTGCCAGTGTTGGACAACTACGTGTAATTTGTAAACCTTTGGTCTTTTCTTCTTTTAAAAAAAATTAATAGTCAGTCACAATTAAACTCGGATACTGAGCCAGTAGCTAGTCATTCGCAATCATCAATTCAGGATTGGATGGTGTTGTAAAGCTATTCTTCTAGCCAGCTTCAAGCACTGAACAACAACCGGGCAGCATACACACACACACACACACACTTGTACTTGTTGCTCACTGCCAAAACTGGTCACGTGGGTCTCCCCGGGAGAGGGGAGAGAGACTCAAAAGGAATCTTGGAAAGATGACTCAATTGGCTATTGAACCGCCCAACGGCCGACACCCCCTGAAATCCCCAAAACTCTGGGTGGACTTGAAAATGATCCCACTTATGGGCTCACCACACCTCAGTAAGTGGGTGAGGACAAGGTGCAGAAAAAGGATTGACGGCATCAGGGTATCCGTCCTGGGATCCAACTGCAGAACCCCTGCCCCCAGTGAAGGTAATACTTGCTACTAGTGTGGGTGGCTAAATCAAAGTGGATCTGATATAAGCTTCACTAGCACCATTGATTACACAAGAGTTAATCTAGCCAGAAGCAGTTCATGGCTAACAGGTATGTATACTTCAAATAGAAAGTATATGAACCCTGGAACCAACAAAGGTGGCAGGTACAACATTACACCTTCAAGCAGCCGAGCCCGTTGGCAACAGACCCAACACTATCAGGCATACGTGTACCCACCAACCGAACTAGCTGGCACACACACACACACACACACACACACACACACACACACACACACACACACACACGCGTGCGCGCGCGAACGCATGCATGCACACACGAACGCAAGCGCACGCGCACACACACACACACATCACACACACGTGCACGATGTACGAATGCATCTAACACGCTGCACAACCTACATTGCGTGGCTACGGCTTACCTCGCGGACATTGACCACTGCTCACTGGCTCACGACCAGAGAAGTTATCCACACAGTCTGCTGCGCGAAGGTGACACCGGCTAGAGTAGGTCGCGGCAAATTGGCTGCAGACCGGTTTTTTCACTCCACAAGTCGGACACCGATGCGGTGCTACACACTCACAGAGGCCGCTGAGGGGATGGCACACACTATGCCTTTTACACACTCTTCGGATACTATCAATGCCACCACGGTTTGGGCACGTTGTTTCTAGTCAAACAGACGCCAGCAAATCACATGGCACATAATGATCAAGCAGAGTACAGTCAACTTTGCGTATAACGGCACTCGGTGGGGTACCAGAAAAGTGTCCTTATTCGCCAAGTGTCCTTATATACCCGAAGTCTCATTATCAGTTGTCTGATGATTGCCTAACGGCATGAAACTCAGAGCTACAACCAACCTGAACGTCCTTCGCTGAGTCTGCTATGTACTAAGCAGCTCGGGGATCAACGAAGTCTCATTATAATAATATATTATTACAGTTTAAAAATAGATGGGACTTTTCTCTGGGCATGGAAATTCTGTCGTTATTAGAGAGGTTCTGCACAACGAAAATTGGAACGAAGTTTCGCGACAGGCCTTGCGAAAATGTGTACGAATTTTGCACGAACTTTGTGTTCTGCACATTTTCGTAGTTTGCATGCGCCAAATGCACGTACACCATGACCCGATTTCACAAAACTTCCTACGAAAGTTCATTTCAAGTTCCCTGCAAGTTTCGCGTCCAAAGTTGCGAAAGTTCGTGCGAAGTTTCTCACTTCGTGACGTAGAGCGAAAGTTCGTACACATTTTCGTTTTGCAGAACCTCTCTATAAGCAAAGTTGACTGTTCATAACCTGGTTATGTGCTCTTGATATGATCAACATGCATGGCTGTGCAGCTGTGCTCACTGAAACCGGATACAAAATGCAAAACTGACGACCAGTTCCAATTGCATCACTGTACTTGTAAGCGTGTACATCCAGCCGCATTCGTACCACCTCCAGGGCGTCAAGGATCGTGCAAATTGAGGGTGCCAAATATGCTCTTCAGGTGGGATTTCACCCGGCACAACTGTGCTTTTAAAGGACGTGTAAACCAAGTTATGGTGCATTTCTTCAGAATAGCAATCATGTGCCGGATGACACTGTCCCGTATCCTGGGCAACCCTGTTGTTCGGTATGCTGTTTGTGCTGCTGATGCCTGGCCCATGTGCATCATACATATATCACAGCTATGCTGTACATTAGAAAAGATCTCCCTGAACCATGCAGTACAGCAGTAGGACAATACTACAGAAGCATGCACCCAGTGTGTTGAGTACGCCGAGTAGTAAACATAGTGCAGGGAGTAGTAAACTTTTAACTTCTCCCTGCTTGAAGGGTGCCCAGCATGCACCCAGTGTGTTGAGTACATGGAGTAGTAAACATAGTACAGGGAGTAGTAAAATGTTAACTTCTCCCTGCTTGAAGGGTGCCCAGATGCCGTACACTAACCTTGCTCTGCTGTTGTCCCAATGTGCTAAGTAAACCAGTGCCCTAGACCGATGCAGTTGTAAATTTACCCAAGTCCAGCCTCGCGGTACGGCAAAGAATGTCACTGCTATCGAATAGAACGGAGTTGGATGCGACGAAGACTTGAGTGAACCGTGCCTCCCGTGAAAGCTGATGACGGGTCAAGGAACCCTGAAACCATGCTCCTCGGGTGCAAGTGCTCCCCTTCACCAGGGTCCCAGCCCCCTGTGCGCAAAACTGATCCTGACCCTATCCAGGGGGGGGGGGGGCTGGAAGTGACACATTTCGTTTCCTATTCTAGTGACCTTCATGGATATGTGATTGCCTTATCAGAGTTCCCGTCCTCGACTACATATTGCAGCTCACCATCCACAACTGAATATAGTGATTTGCAACAGCCTGCATGAGTACTCACGTACACACCGCGGTGCGCAGTCGGACCACTCTCCGGTCGGTAAACATTCCACCTCGCTGACACCCAGCAGCGAGAACCCAGCGGCGCAGGAAAACCGCACGGTCGCGCCGCAGTCCATCATGCTCGCAGCGCCGGTGAGCCATGTCTGAACGTTTGCATCACGTTGGAGCCGGGCACACGTCCTGCCTGTTAGTTGAACCGTGGCAAGATCAACACACGTGTACATTAGCACGTACAAATGCACACAATCATATACAAGTAATAAACACAGAAACACACACACACACACAGAAACACACAGACAAGCACAGTCACAGACACACATACACACGCAGAACAACACATGAGTGGCACATGAGAGTTTATCAAAGGAAATTGCCACGCAGGAAGCACTCTCTTCAACATCGCAGACAACAGCACAACCGATGAACATGTGCGGTGTTTTTATACTTCAAGCTACTTCAAGCTATTCTACATTACAGAGTGCAACATGCTCGCTTCCAATCAGCTAATACTTGGCTTGCGTACGGAGATCAGTACTACACTCATACCAGGTGCGTGCGCCGGTGCCCTTCAAGGGGGGGGGGGTTCCGGGGGCCTCCCCGGGAAATGAAGCAAAATTCTGCATCTTGAGCGAAAAAGGGGGGGGGGGGTTCCGGGCACCCAGGAACCCATACGGGGCACGCGCCTGCATACCTCTCTTCTCAGGGCAGTCTGGTAGCAGGCACTGGCCATGACTTGGAAATATCCACAGCTCTGAATCACACGAGTTTCGATGGGGAAGTCCCAGAGATCTGGCATATAATGTCACTATTTCCACGAAAGTGGCAAAGAGTAGTAATATTTCCACTAAAACCCATTCACGGGGTGCCCGTTAGACCGAGATGCCCGTTACTTGGCAGTCCGAATGAGAGAGATAATGAGTGTGCATGGATTACATGTACTTACGGATGCATCGAGTGCGGCTTGTGTCTGGTATCCATGCCGTTGTCCCATTGGCCTGTTCCCTGCACTGTGTCAGGACTTTGTTGTTCGGCTTGAAGCAACGCTCGCACTGCAAGCCGACGTACGTGTTTGTTCGATACGGCATCGTCTCACTGGAGACAAAACTACCGTTGGCGACAGCAGGCAGATCCGGACATTCGAGCCCTGCGCCGCAATGGGAAAAATGGAGAAAAAAGGAGAGAAAAAAATGCATTGGCCGGGAATCGAACCCGGGCCCCCCGCGTGGCAGGCGAGGATTCTACCACTGAACCACCAATGCTTGGATGTACAGTGCTAACTAAGGCCATGGTAAAAAATAAAGTTGATTCTCAGGTCATGAGCCTGTGAAAATCGGTGCGAGCGAGCAATTTTTTATTTTATTTCCCACAATTTTTTATTTCCAAAGATAGGGCCTAGGGCCTAGCCTAGGGTCACACATATGTACATGGTCACATGTTCATAATTATATTCAGGCCCGGGAGTAGAAAAACACCGGTATTTCACTACTCCCTGATTCATGCCTTTCGCATTGACCGTTTTCATGCGCGCATATGCAGGCATAGAAATAAAAAAAATCGTCGGTGCGCCGCCAAAAATCGGTGCGCGTACTTGAGAATCAAAGATAATTTTTACCATAGCCTAATATTATAATAATGGTGTTCTAACATCGGGCACCACTGCTCCTGACTTCCAATTCCTAGATCCGTGCATTGGGCTACCTTGCACATACGAGTATGGTAAAGTTGCACACATGTGTGATAAAGAGTCCTTCAGTCTAGTAATCTTGTTGCATGCTTCGTGCATCCCGTTCATGCATGCTGGTGCGTAGCTAGCCTTTATCTGTTGCAAATACGCGTCCAGGAGCTAGGGTGACGCGAGTCTAAGCCTGAGCTACAGAGTTGTCTTAGTGTCCTGTGTTGTCTCGAGACGGGCTGCGCCCGGGCCACAACGCCTCAGTCGCTCAGTTCTGCTTGCGTGCCGTGTGCGGACCGCCAGTGGTTAGTAGTAGTCCTCTGTAGCCTTACATAACATGAACATATACCTGGCTGAATTGAGTGTCACTGCAGGGACATAGCATTGGGATTTAACCCTTTAAGAGCTACAGGGAAATTTCAAAATTTTGCATTTTTTCGTGTTCCTTGGATCATAGCTTCAGTTCTACTCACTCAATCCTCACAATCTAGGGCTTCCTGGAAAGGTCTCCGCGAGAGGAAGACAATGAGGTCGATCATGATAGCCAGCACACCGTCTATCCAGCGCTAGATCGCAGCGACAGTACGAAAAATGCCCCAAATGCGTCCAATTGCGTCCCGCTCCAGATATTTCATTTTACTCGATCGTGGAGTTCCAATTTTTCGCTGTCTACTCTTGACAATATCAACAGTGAAACCCGTGCAAATTTGAGTAAACCAACGTGACAAAAAGTCTCAAAATGCTCAATACTAAAGTCGCACTGCGCGTTTTTGAAATTGCCGCGATTGCGGCTCAACTTACGAGTGATTTATCTCAGTAACCGTTGCTCGCAGCGCTTCGCGGATTGTTTCTCCCGACAGGTGAGAGTTTTCTCTTCGTCCTGGATAATTCGATCGCTGGATTTGAGCGAGATTGGACTGAGTTACGATCTTTTGAAGTTTTGCATTTGAATGCGTCGTTTACGACGCATTCAAGTATGGGGCGGCTCTTAAAGGGTTAAGGTGGTCCGGCCAAATGGGATACTTGACCAGAAACAAACATTATTGACGAGAAGACCAGTTCTGAATGAGGTTCAGCTTTGGCCGGACTAGGTGCTATGCCCTGTACACTTAGTACCATTCTGGGAATTTCTGAGATAAGTCTACTCAGTACTGGTAACTCTCAGTAGCACACGCTGCGCCACTATTAGTTAAGAAATTCCTGAATGACATTGTTATTTAGGAATTTTGCTGTACATCTGCACTGCAAACATGCGGCATACACTAGGCTTTATTCCCGTAGCTATGCAGAAGACGTTACTTCAGTAACGTCTGGCGCTAGCCAGGGTCCACACAGCTTTAATTTGGTATTTGTGTGTGTGTTTGTTTGTTTGTTTGTGTCACACCTGGCGCTATCCGTATCTGATGGCAAAAAAAGCATAGGATGTTATAAATTTTTCAATTCTCCTATTTTTTTCAGGCTTTTCAGGCATATCCTGGGATTCGAACCCGCACTATCGCCCTACATGCATTCCCCCATACACTTCGCAGTCATACCCATTCTTCCAAGTTGCTTCACGTTATTATCTTGCGTTTGAAAGCCCTATTTGAATATTGCGGGCAGCTGCCGGTATGTGGCCAGCTGTGTTTGATGGTACGGTACGGTACGGGAGACGGTGTCGTATTACCCTCGATCGTACCTGTCCCGTACCTATCCCCTACCGTACCGTGCCATCAAAGACGGCTGGCCACAATGCATATTCAAATAGGGCTTTCAAATGCAAGATCACAATGTGAAACAACTTGGAAGAATGGGTATGAATGCGAAGTGTATGGGGGAATGCATGTAGGGCGATAGTGCGGGTTCGAATCCCAGGACATGCCTGAAAAAATAGGAGAATTGAAAAATTTATAACATCCTATGCTTTTTTCCCGTCAGATCACAATGTGAAACAACTTGGAAGAATTAGTATGTATGCGAAGTGTATCGGGGATGCATGCAGGGCGCGCGATAGTGCGGGTTCGAATCCCAGGTTATGTCTTAAAAAAAGAGGATTTTTTTAAAGAATTTATAACATCCCTATCCTTTTTTTAGGGTTTATCGGGTGGGTGTTAGCGGCCGTCGTGAGTTCCCTTCGGGAACGGATACGATAATTTACTTTTTACTTTTTTTATCCTTTTTTTTGTCTAGGTCATCAAGGCAAAAAAGCATAGCGTAGGGCCCTGAGCTTCCAAGCTCTCTCGTATAAAGTTTATAATTATGGCGATTGGAATTGATTACATCACAGATCAAAATGTACAATGACAGTTTTTTCCCAGTCCAACTGCGTGTGTATGGAACCCATGGTGGATGAGAGACACAGTGTACTTACTCAGCCATTGGCACGTTGGCCATTCATTCTCCCAGACCATCTCCAGGCCCCGCTGGACACACGTAGAGGTTGGAGAGCCAATCAGACGATGCCGGCCGCACGAGAAATGGACGGAAAAGTTATTGCCGAAAAAGGTCCTGGGACCGCCACCTCCTTCGTCGACATCCAGCAATGCATGCAGATTGGCAGGACGCCGGCACGATGTAGCTGTGAGCAATACAGAGAAAGACAGTCGGCGAGCAAGAAGACAAAAAAATCCCGGTTTGCGCGAGACTCAGACTGAGCTTTCCGCATCCGTAGGAACGCCACCACCCTCGAGGATCAAAGCGCAAATGCAGCTCCTAAAGCGGTGGGAGATGAGTAGATCAGACCCACTACAAAGTGGTTAAAGACCGAATCCTCGTGCCAGGCAGGGAGTTCCCAATTAACTGGGGGTCGTATCACATAAGACGACAAGGGGAAAGAAAAGAGTGCAGGGGGGGGGGGGGGAGGCGAGGGTATTCATGTATCAGAAGTAAGGCCAAAGTCAAAATGTTAATTGCAGATATGCAAGCCCTTTCAATTCATAAAAACAAGACGAGCACAACAAACCCAACCAATCAGGAAACAAGAACTCGGAAAGGGAGAGCTGTAGCCCTTTGTCTGGTAGCGGGTATTAGATGGACATCGCAACCACAGTCATAGTGTGTACGTCAATGTTCAGCAATGAATGATGCACATCTCTCAACCTTACCTCTACAAGCCACCGGAGTGGCCAGATCCAGGTTCGCGTTGTTCTCCCAGGTAGACCGAGGCGTGCACGTGAAGGAGACGGAGTCGCTGTTCAGCTCCGCGTTCCTGGCATACAGTTCCCGGCCGCTCTTGCAGCCAACGCGCAGCTTCTCACCGGTCCTGAACAGGCCCTTTGCCGAGGAGAAGGTGAACTTGGAGGCCGTGCTTGCATCGATACGGATTGCACCGCGCAAACAGTATCCTATATGGAGCACAGCATGAGCAGAGCAGAGCAGTGGAGATTTTCAACTGACACAAATAACCTTGACCACTGGTAGAGTGCTTCATACATGACGGGCATAGCTTCAGTACAAACAGAAAATCCAGTCTAACAAAATTAAATAAATCTTAACCGATCTTCATGCCCAAAAGCAATCATTAGGAGCCTTTTAAAGGGGAAGTATACCCTAAAATCAAAATTTCACCAGTTGTAGTCTTCGGGGTGCTGAGTCGAATGGTCTTGGTCCGAGGAAGCTGAGACGCTCCGTTCCTACTTGAATCCCAATCGAGCTCGCGCACTTCCACCGAAACTGGGTGACTGCGCCCTACTAGATGGGGATTTGTATGCAAAATGTCACCGTAAGTAAAAGTGCCATTTCGTTCTTATAAAAGCACGGATGACCGCCTTTGGCCCATATGTTGTAGTCTTTTGGACGCTGAGTCGACTGGTTTTGGTCCGAAAAGGCTGCGATGCAGCGTTCCTCCTTTATTCCCAATCGAACATGGTTGAACAAGCGGTCACGTGCTCCTGCGTACACCAGTCACCTGGTCACCGTGCCTGCAGGGTACAACTTACTAGCCTGTTTGACCTTTTTGGGGTGCAGTCCTGTCACTCAAGTTGAACCTTGGTGTGAAAGTTGTCGCCTGCTGGCGCGATGACCAGGTGATTTGGGCACCCAGGAGCACGTGACCGCTTGTTCAACCATGTTCGATTGGGAATAAAGGAGGAACGCTGCATCGCAGCCTTTTCAGACCAAAACCAGTCGACTCAGCGTCCAAAAGACTACAACATATGGGCCAATGGCGGTCATCCGTGCTTTTATAAGAACGACATAGCATTTTTAGTGACATTTTGCATACAAATCCCCATCTAGTAGGGCGCAGTCACCCAGTTTCGGTGGAAGTGCGCGGGTTCGATTGGGAAAAAAGAAGGAAGGGAGCGTCGCAGCTTCCTCGGACCAAGACTATTCGACTCAGCACCCAGAAGACTACAACTGGTGAAAATTTGATTTTAGGGTATACTTCCCCTTTAACGCTTACGAGAATTACAGGATGTCGTGGAGATTTTCAGCTTACTTAGTTTAACTGCATTTGACAGTGTCTTACAATGGTTATCATCCGTTGATACTATCCCAGGCATCTGGAGGTGACGCATCTCTGTTGTGCTGCGGCAATGCCGCACGCTAAACTATTACTAGTTTCCTCGATCAAGGGACATGAATTCAAAGCAAAGCCTGGTGCCGTCACCGACCCAACACACACACGCATGTACGCTCGCACACACGCTCACACGCACGCTCACACGCACACACGCATGCACATACACACACACACACCTCACACACTCACACACACACAAACACACACACACACACACACGCACACGCACACGCACACACACACACACACACACACACCCACACACACATTGCTGCTCAATAAAAACCCGTCAACTTAACGTAACTCTGTCAAAGATGCGTGCACTTCTGCTTACGTCTGCATTCGACTTTCCTGGCCTTGCTGACTTTGAGATCACCCAGATCAGTCCAGGCCAGGTAGTTTCCATTTCGTGTTGGATCGGCATTGCACTTGAAACGCGTCGATCCAGACGGATGCAGGTATCGCCGATCCGGTCCGGAATTCTCAGACTCGCATGATATGCGGACAGTCTCGCCGTACTTGTATTTCGTCTGGTTTGGCGATATTTGAAGACCGGTGCTGGAGTAGATGGAGGACTTGGCTAGCAGCACGACTATGCGACACGTACGTGCTGAAAGTGCAGAAAAACACAAACTAGCTTAGGAGCGTGCAGAAGAAATGACAATCCCAAATGCAATGTGCACTTAAAAGTCTCCTGTTGCTGCACACACAAGCAATGTCACCAGGAACGCTAAATGGTTAGGTGATATGTACAGATACATATATATGCATTTTGCAGTACTAAGTACTCAGAAAGCAATTTCATGGTACATATACTGGGGTGCTACATGTAGCATGGACATCGCACTTTTCTTACAAGCACAGCCGGGGCCTGAGGGGCATGGAGCCAGAGGGGGCAGGGGGCAAAGGGGTATGGGGCCAGCTGCAGCACGGGGGGGGGGGGGGGAGAGGGGAAGCAGAGGGAACAGCAGCAACAGCAACAACAGTAATAGCATTCTACCTTTGCAGTAAGGCTGCTTCTGGGACCAGGAGCCGTTAGGCAGACAAGAAGCTTTGCGCTGACCGATCACTTTCAGTCCAGGTCCGTTGCACTGGAACTCTATGGTCGTATCGACGTTAAAAGAGCCAGGCACGACTTCTCTGTCACTGGCACTAAACTCTAGTCCTCCACCGGTCTGAGGTGATGGACACGTCTCTACGCACAGTAGTGGTATAGTGAAGCAAAAGAAAGCCACAGCAAACACAATCACAGTCACACACATTATAATTATGTATGCGCACTTTTTTTATATGATTATATTTCGACTCCCCGGGTTAAAAAAAGTTTCGAAATTTTTGATAAGCATTCTCTGTCTCCTGTGGGTTTAATTCTTGGCCCTGCAGTCTGAGGCGACAACAACAACAACGACAACAACAGCAACAACAACAACAACATACTTGAGCAGGAGCCGAGTGCTGTGGTGCTCCAGCCTGTCACGGTGCACTTGGCGACGCGTGGCTTCAGCAGCGTATAGCCCGGGTCACACACTAGCTTCAGGGCGTCGTTGAAGCGGTATGGACCGGTGTTGTTGTAGGCACCGTTGCTGGCAGGTGCAAACACTGGACAGTCATCTAAGAAGAAACAAGAACATATGAATCATTGTGTTAATAGCACCATATACATAGGTACTGTTGCACCCTTGTGTATAGCGCAGCACTATACACAAGGGTGGAACAGTACCAACATGTATGCAATGGTCCTTATTCACAATTACGTCATCGGCTCGCGCCGGGGGTATACTTGAGATTTCGTGGTGAGAAAGACTTCACTTCTTCCAAAATTTTCGTCTTGGACATCAGACAGTTGTGGTTGTTTTTATTTCGAGAGTTAGCCCTCACGTCGAGTTCCAGGCAGTGCCTGTCGTGGAGTATCACCGACTGGTCCGTCAGCTATGAGTGCCAAGAAAGTTTCGTCTTTAGCCGACTTGAGAGTGCCTGAGCTGAAGAGGCTACTCCGTGAACATGGCTTACCCCTTTCCGGAAAGAAGGACGAACTGATTGGGAGGTAAGCTTTCTTCGTTTCACTTCTTACTCAGTAGTGTGTTGCCGAAAATTACTAAACTCTCCCAGGCGTCTGTTTTTTCGTTATTGGCCCGCGTGCAAAGAATGGAGCTGAACTAAAAATATTTTTCAAAAACCAGTAGACTTGTGTAGCATGGCTACTTTATAACACGTTATTTGTATACACATAAATAGTACACCGTAGGAATGCTTGGATAGCTCTGCGCACACTCGCACGGCCTTGTCTTCTTCTTCTCCTTGTGAGACAATGAACGAATGATAACTACTTACGTAACTACAAGTATGTGCTTTGAGTGCTGAGAGTATACGAGTTACGATGGTGGCAGCGGTGGGATTCGAACCCACGCCTCCGAAGAGACTGGAGGGGGGATTACACTTGGACTACGTTTGGTGTGGGCATGGACGAAGCCATAGCCATGACCATGTGCATGGCAGCATTGCGACTCTGCTGAGAGTTGCTATAATGGGATCTGCTTTCAACTCAGTGTGCAACAGCATCCATAGTCATTTTACCTGTATTATGTTCTTGTCATTTTACTTTTGTTTTGTGACACCGTACCCATGAAACGAGACAATATTCCTTGCTGAGCCTAAAAACTCCAAATCTTCCTGTGGCTTGTGTTCCTGTGTCAACTGCAGATTAAAGACATTTGCGAAAACTTCAGGCCGTGCTGAAAGTAGCTTTCTATCGCCACCGGTACAAGGCAACGTCAGTAATCCCCCAGCACAGTCACAACCACCGCATATACCACTATCCACAGAGTCGATAGAAGTGACCCGTACGAAAAGCAAGCTTCCAGTCGACCCGAACTTGTGGAAGCCCTTGGTTGACATTCGGACTGCCTTGCCGATGTTCACCATGGCCAACATGGTGGCTTATTTCATTTATGGTCAGTCCACTGATGGGAGCCGAATGAACTTCAAGGCTGTAAATGAGCATGCCCTGCTTCTATTCAGCAATGGATTGGTGCAGGCCATTAAAGGTGCAGTGGATCCCGAAGAGCAAGGAACAATGTATCTCCGCTGCATTGTGCTGGCAGAAATGAAACAAAAAAAAACCTATACCCTATACATGAAGCTGGACAGACATGCAGAGGTCCTGTACGCAGAGTGTGGCTGTCCTGCTGGCCGCCCTCCTCACGCTTCCTGCAAACACCTTGCGGCATTTGCGTATGCTCTTGAGGAGTTTGTGCGGCTGGGGTACCACCGGTCAGCATTGACTTGCACGGAAGAGGCCAGCAAATGGAATGTGCCACGGAGCAAGAAGGTTGAAGTGTGCCTGCTAAAGGATCTGGTGTTTAAAAAGGCTGCGTACAGCAAGAGCAGCGCAACGCCGGTAGCTGCTGCACGGAAGGAACTGGACAAGCCACTTGCCCCACCTCGGCTGCCAGCAACTGCCTTGCTGACTTTCGCCAAGAACGTAAACGAACTTAGTACCCGCGGCGTGGCAATGGCTTTCACCCACGTTCTGCCGTCCGAGTCAACGCTGGTTGCAAGGGTGGAACGCATTGCACGGGCGAAAGAACAGCAGCAGGCGTGTCGTGAGTTGCGGGCTGAAGGCACAGATAAGGCTTCTAAGGGTGCATCCTGTGAACCTAGTCCTAGTGGTGAACCTAGTCTCAGTGGTGAACATAGTCCAAGTGGTGAACCTGACACGCAACTTACCCGAGAGGAAGTGAATCCGCAGTCGCCCATGGATGTGACTGGGAATGCTAGTGACAACAGACAAGTGCAAGAGTACCCCCTGCCTTGGGGTGGCTCTCACCGGACAGAAGATGGCAAACAGTTCTATTTTAGCAATACGTGCCCACTGGACAATGGCTTGATGTTTTGTTTTACTCTCCTCAGCAGCAATGACATATATATTCATGAATTTAGAGACGCAGCTAAAAGTGGGAACCGCGCAGCTCATGCCCTGCTGGATATGTGTGGGTTCATTGACATTGGTGAACCAGGCGCAGCGAAGTACATCTGGTGGCACGCCCTTGAACTTCTAGGCCTTCCCCGAGTACCCTGTGATGGACAGAACATTAATTTCTATGGTTCAGAAGCAGATCGGTTTGTTATAGCGTTTAATCAATCGTTTTGTCTTCCGTCAGTATCCTACGAATGTGACACGTGCAATGTGAAGAAAGATGTCGTCACTCCAGAAATCTTTATCTCTGCAGATGGAGACCTATCTCACCTGCCTGGGCCGGACCAGGTAAAGGTGATGTTGAATGCCTGGTTTTTTCCGGGAAGTCAGCCTTGTCGTTGTGGTGGTGTGCGCTCGTATTCTCGACGGAGGTTGCAGGTGCTACGTGGCTCCAGAGTGGGGTGCTCTGTGGCATTCTTTTGCTGCATTTGCCGCGAAATGGTTGGTCGGCACACAATTTATTCTGCTGCAGATTTTCCTTTACAGGTTGAAGTGCCAGGCACTGATTCCGGCCGCCTGACTGCATACCGGTTGCTGGGTGTGACCTATGGAAATGGTCAACATTTTGTGTCTCATATTCATGAAAATGGCACGTTTTATTTCTACGATGGCATGAATGCAGCCACAGGGGGGCGGCCTCAGGCTGTGGTTGGCCCTCCAGTGGCTCCAGCTGGCTATCAGCTTGGCCACATTATGTATGCTGCAGTTGTACCGGCATGAAGAGCATATTTTATGTGAGAATTTTCATGATCTGTCACTCATAATGTCGTAATGAGAATGGATACTTGTTGGGTGTGTACGGCATCACATCTGCTTGGGAGCACGGCTCCAGAGCAGAACATCTTTAGTCACAGAAAAGTGAAGGCCCATTCCAAGTCCGATGTAACAAACAAACACCAAAATATCCTACAATGTACTGCATTAGATGCCTAACGGAGTAAGGTGTGCTGTCCTGAAGGCAACAATACAGGCTACATAAGGAGGCGCACAGATCACAAGTAATGCAATGTCGACAGTATACAAATTCAATGGCAGCAGGGGGGGGGGGGGGGAGTCTTAGGCTGTTGCTGAGCACCATTCTGTCCCACACGCTACAATAGCTGTCACTACCATAGTGACTGTCACTTGAGATGCACGAAAGTAACTAGTTGGTCGCAAGCAACCGCGTTATGGAAAGGTTATGTGGAATAGCTGTATGTACACGGAAGTATGTAAATTACGCGATTATGTGCGCGACAGTCCCGGAGGGAGAGACCATTGCAGAATAACTTACATCAATGGTGGATTAAATAGAGTGAGAAGGGCACAGCATGAAAAGATTTCATCTCCAATATCAGCCATACTGATCGGCAGGAAGCGAAGGATGGAATAATTCTTGATCTGCTGAATGGCTCGCTCCACATGAATCCTCAGTGATGCAATGCGTCGTGTTGTAAGTAGATCTTCTTCGGAGAACTGTTGATGGTGGAGAAAGGGTGGGATATTGACACCAACACCATACACAAGTGCGTCGGATGCAATGTCAAACCCTTTGTCGGCCATAATCACATCGCCTTTGTCCAGAAGCTTCAGTAGTTCGCATCTCCTCACCAACTCCTTGTCAGACGTCCGTCCACCATACAGCTGTGACACAAACGACAGAGCACCACCAGGTGTTATTCCTACAAGCGCTTTAACGGTGTTACGTTGCTTGTATTCCGACCATGTGGCAGCTTGAGTGGTGGGGTTCTTTGGCTTTTCTATCGGAATCTCCAACGCATCGATGATAATCCGTGTCCGTGGATACATTTCGCGGAACGACAGTGACATTAGCTCATCCACTTGGGATCTGCTCGGGAAGATCGGGATTTGGCGAAGTGCATTGGCAGTCAACGGAATCCAATGGCGGATAATCCTGGATATTGTTGGTTGGGAGACACCAGTTAGCCGTGCCAGCTCCTCTTCCGGATAATCCTTCCACACCTTCACCATTGCAATAAAAAAGCAGTCTTCCAGTGGAAGGATTGGTGCAGTACCTCTTGCTTGGGTGGCAGAACGGGTGGCCAAAACAAGTTTGAACATCTCCTCAAACTGTCCGAATGTTCTGAACCCAGTATACCAGCGAATGTTTTTGTCCGATGTGAACTGCCGTGCCGTAAAACGCTGCCGTTCAAGCTGAGCTTCGAGGATCGTGTTTTGGTCTTTCAATAGCTCTAGCTGTGATTTCAGGTCCAAGATCTCATCCCTCAGCCGCTGATTCTCTTCGACAACGTCCACCTCTCCAGTATCTTCGGTGCTGGCCACTTCTTCCTCATCCACCGTCATACTTTCTTCCTCGGCCTCACTCGCTTTCTTGGAGGTCAGTGTTTGGCGCTCCACCACTGGGATGGTCCAAGCAAATACAGAGGGAACTTCATCGTCATTCTGGCGTTGCAGGGCTGGGAAATGTGCTCCACATACACGCACATCGTTTGTTGCAGTCACAGTCAAATTTTGTTTTCGAACAGCATCTTTCCACGATTTGATTAATTTTCTTTGCCGTTTAGCTAGATGTGGATCAGCGCTTTCGGGCAGGGGTTTGGGGAACTTGGCGAACGGCAACGTCCTGCACACGCTGCAAGCGCCCCTACAGCCGACTCGCTTTGCCGTATTCCCA